GCGTCGTGTGCCCACTGGGTAGATGTGGCTGTTTGGAAGTGTGTACTTTATGCACTGTTTCCGTACTGGTGCCAGGGTGTTGTTCCATGCTTTGGGCCTGACTGTCTGCGAGCTCATAGGCGCGTGCAGTGGTAAGCAATTTGGAGAGAGAAAACTCTGCTTCACGTAGGGCAGAGCGGCGAAGCTTGGAGGATGAACAACCACGAACGACTAGCGACTTGACTTCGGAGTTCCGGTCATGGAACTCGCATTTGTGTGCCAGCTGTTGGAGTCGGGTGTGAAAATCACCAACTGTTTCTTTCAGAGCTTATTTGGATTCTCGGAACACAACTCATATTCGATGTTGCGTTCAGGAGAAAGGAAGGGACTTGTCAAGTCGATCTTTCGCCGTCGGGAAGTCAGACTCAGTGTCAGGGAGTGTCTCAAAGATGTCCATAACTTCTTGGCCTGCATAGTGCAGTAGCAATCCCCGTTGCTGTGTGTCATCCACGATATTGAAAGCAATAAGTAGATTTTCGAGTCACTTTATTTACTTGCGCCATCTGAGGCCGACTGTGGAGGGCTCTGTGTGTGGCTGAAAAGTTGTTAAGGCTGGCGGGTAAATTTGGCGTAGCCATTGTGATCGGTGTACCGCAGAAAATGACACAGTTCAGCGTGAAAGCAATGCACACGGTGCGTAGACCAGTAGGCCTATACAACGTTGAACGGACATGCGACAACACGCACTGTCAATTCTAACGGTTAGAACGATGCTCAAAACTTACTCAGTTTTATGCGATCGCGACTTTTGTCAGCCACAAGATGCTCGGATAAACAGATCCTGGCCATCCTCGTCGCCAGTTGTGAATCTCGATTGTCTAATTCGGTGTTCTACAAAATACTATGAGCTGAGCCCGACTTGAGGATAGGAACCTGTCATGCAACACTAATTATGTATTCCCTGCAACCCCGTTTCTGACCTTTGACCTATGGTATGCGGACTACAGGGCGCCTTACATTACAGAATTAGGGGTGGTCCCTTGGAGAACGAATGACTCTGAATACTACATTGTCATATCACACGAGGAAAAAGATGAAGAAAACAGTTTTGTTCAAAGGTCATTAATAGAAGTACGTGCACAAGGCTTCTTTTCGGTCTTATATGCCACACTGTGAAAGATTAGGACACAATTTGATACCCTCATTTATTTCCTGTTTAAAACCAGTGTATAAAAACGTTAAATAGTCATCATCTCAAAGTTAGGTTCATAAGGTAATGTAGCCTATGTTTGCATCCAAGTGCAGTTTTAGGACCTCTATACTATGTTAAACACATTTTGTGAGCTGCTGTGGTAATGAATAAGCCTTGTTTGGGATATCATTAAATTGTAGTCCGTGCAGTAAAAATAAAATGGAATGTGTGCAGAACAGAAGAAAAGCCTGCAGGCCTATGGGGCCTATTTTCTGAGAAATATTGCTTTCTGTCTACTATCTATCTGTCAATCATGTTATATTTATGAAGCAAATTAAGGTAGTGCCCGACATTTAGTCTAGTCTCAAAGTGTAATGTACAAGTGGAATCCCCAGGTTTCAATGTCAAGTAGAGGTCTGGCCCTGGGGTCTACACGACTTCGCATTGAGGCATTCCATTACGATGTACATTGTACAACCATAGAGCAAAAAACGTACAAGGATCGTCATCGGATTCTCCTAACATTTTCACTTTTTCAGATAAAACAGAACCAGGCTCGTGGGCCAACTTCGTTAGTATCAAAGAAGTACATGTAGTCTTAGGGCTCTTCAAATATGGTAACAATTATATTCTCGCAGTGGGCTCGCAGGTCTTGCGTGTCCGGTGCCGTTTCTACACGGGCATCGGCTTGACTGTTTACAATTTTTGACCTTTCCAACATGGCCGCCGTCCCAGCAACGAGTGACGGGACCTGCCTTTGGAAAGAAAACGGACGCGCGGTGAGCGCGTCTTCCAGTTTTCTTATATGTCTATGACATCGACATCCTGAGATTCCTGACTGCTACTGCGTACCCATTCATGGACAGTCCAATTGCTGACTTTTTGAAATGGTAAAATAAAAACGAGGCTGCAGAAAGTGATGTATCATCAGAAAATTCAAGTGAAAACATCCCGGCATGTCACGTCGAACACAATCGGATTCGGTAACAAAATACGACAGATAGTATCTCAACACTGATTATTTGTGTGTCAAACGAGAAATAAACCACGAGAATAAATAAAAAGTGAGAAAATAATCATAGGCCTATATAACAATGTCGGCACAGCAGAGCAAGTTAAGTTTGCTGTAATTACGTACACATTTCATCATGTATCCCGTGACTTCATGACCAGGGATCGAACTTCCTTTTTAATAACTCAAAGTCCAGACGACTTGACTTTTTTTATTTACTTTTCGACGTGTGAGCACGTGCTCCCGGTTGTGCTACACGGACGGCCGAGTACGCGTCTGGACTTTATAGCATAGACCTAGAGTACCGCGGCACCAAATGTTTTGTGTACAATGTAGGCCTACTGTTGTCTGCAGTCCCAGAGGACGGCCCATTGCAGCGGCCTTGTGATGCCGTTTCATATGCATTTATTTTATAAGAATCTAACTTTGCAAAGTAAAGAGCTTTGTGACCAGAATCATTTTACATGCTTTCTATGGTTCTCGGCGCCGAATCATCGTGAGCGTTATATTCCGAAAAGCATTGTAAACGGGAGTGCTATAACCACATAAAAAAAGGTACACAGTGAATGGGCGTGCAGTTGGGGAAAGGACAACAGAGCGTAACATTGGCCCGGGTGAGGGAGCGCGCTGTAACAGGAATCTACTTCCTTCTCACACTAAAATAAGGAGTAAACCGTAACGCATCTTCTGAAGAAAACCTTAAGCTGATTTGGACGAACTTTACCATGGAAACAGCGCTAAGAGCAGCGCCGTTGGATTGACGATTTTCCCTTGCTGCACATCGCGGGTTTTCTCCGCGGTACTTGTCTAATAAATTTTCCCTCTCAGAACTCGTTAGAAAAGTATTATTGTATATGGTTAGAAAACGTAGGTATAGGTAATTCTTGTCATGTATATTTTAGGACGAAATACAATAAGAAAGGGCTGTAATGATTGTGTAAACAACTGCATAGCCTCGGTAGTGTGACCAAGACACAATGGCTCTCCAAACTCGCCGGACGCTACCATTTTTAGTGTCGGTAAATATATGTACATGTATGTACGCCTACGTCCGAGTAATTGGTGGAAATCGTCGTAGAGGATTGTTAAAAAACCCACAAAAATACAAAATCAAGCAAGAGAAGTAGACCTACGCCCTTAAATGCATGTATATTCTTGTATTTTATGCACTTCCTCTTAGTAAGTTTGTACCGTACACCCTATTTATAAATTGGACTTGTTCCACTATGGATGCACATCACACACACAATAGCGTGCACTAGTTCAAGGTCAAATCCCACCTGGTGTACATGTACATGTACAGTCCCTATAATGACTGTATTCTATGGAGTTACCATATTGACGGTAATCTGTGGAGTGATGCACTTGTCTTCATGTACATGTACATGTATGTTATGAAGATTTTTTATTCAACTTGAGCGGAAATTTGTGAGAAAAGAATTGTTTTTTTATGCCCCTTTTTTTCTGAGGGATCATTTCTAAGCACTCATCAGCTCAAAACGACAATAAGCAAGCGGGAGAGGGCCAGAGAAGAAATGTTTCAAGAAAATTGATGATTTTTTTTTATTAATAACCTCTTTAATTCCACTGTTTAGTTTCGCCCATAATTCTTTTTGTGATTGATTTTTTTTCCCAGGAGAGAATACAAGCTATATCCCCTTGCCTTTCCACCTCCGGGACGTCCATGAAATACAGACGTGGCAAAAGGCTTAACATACACCTGGCAGAACAAAAACAGTTTCCTGAAATTTCACAACTTCACCCATTCCTACCAACTTTTCTTTTCATGAGGACTGACAACATGGTCTCTGCTTAATGTAACTGGTGTATGCGTCAGGTAAAAACACCTAGAGATGTTTATATTTACAAAACAAGTTAAATTTTTACTAATATCGAGTGCCACTTTCTGTATGTGGGGTCAATATTATTGTCACCGAGTATTTTAAGTTGAAGTGACCACATAAAAAAAGTTGGCAATTTTTTTTTTAAACAGTGAAAAGTTGAGGAAAGCTGTTTTTTCTACCAAGTGTATGTAATCCTTTTGCCCCAACTGTATACTGGTCATTAATATAGACCAATAATCCGTTCAGTGCATACACTTACCCACGGCAGATAGAATCACAGTCAGGATGATGTTCATGGCTGATCCAAGCTGGCTGATCCAAAATCCGCAATTAATTTTATCTGCAGTACATAGGCAGAGCATTTGAGAAAACCTAGTTAAGAGAATGTCTATAAAAACGGCTGTATTGCGAATTCAAAAGTTTGGACAGGAAGCGTATATTTTGCATAAGCTGATACAAAAAGGTTCATCAAAAAAGTGATTTTTATATTCAAGCATAAAAACACCGTGCAGAATAAGCATCTATCGCTGTCTTTCACACTGGGTATTTACGATATAATTTCGACGTTCACTGGAAGTTGGAACGAAACATGTCTGCAAAGCAGGTTCAAAAATATCGGTATATGTTGTGGACTTCCTTCCTCGTTTGGTCGACGATAAAAACACAGCTTCAAGCCATACCCCACAGCTAGAACCCTACCGCCATGCTAGAACAACGATAGTAACGGTTCCACAAGAGGAGATCACCCCTAGCCAACGACCGCATTAGGTCAAGACATTTACGTAGAGCAGCACACCAGCCCCGGACAAAGATACAACCCAAAACAAGGATCATTATGTTAAAACGATATAGGGCGTCTGAAAACACATGCGAAAGGTGAAACTTACAGATCTAGCTTGCAGAGTTTCGCTCGCGTCAGCAATGTGTCGGCAATGTACAGTATATATGTAGGCAGCTTGAGAAATGGCATTTATGCTCAGCACTATATGACGTATACATGAAGATGTACAGGCACTTTATGTTCGTGGCTGTGCGCAGCACCTTTGGGGTGTCGTCCAGCATCATATTTTTTACACAGCACGCTGGGGGAACTCGACTTGAATAAAGGCTATGATTGTGGCTCTGGAGGAAGTCATCTTCCCTTTCCTCCCAAGTGAAGTCTGGCATTTCAAAAGGGGAAGCTTTCACCAGGCGGCAAAGACTAGTCTCTTTTCAAAACTGCCAATTAAAGCATTTTTCCATATTTCCGAATAATGTATGATAAAAAAAAAACATTACCGTCCGGTGGGGCGTTGTCGACGCATGCGCACGTAATGCAGCTTTATGTTTGGTTGAATTAACATTCACGTTAGGCTATAACTCATTCCCATCACGTGAAATCTAAGTATGCTGTGCGTGCAATCAAAAACAAATCTTGCTCACTTGTCTGCTATATAGAATACTAATCAACGTCAAGCCCAACAAAAAATATCAGATTGCAAATATCATTCCACATTTGCTTGGAAAAATAGTTTAGAAATTAAGGCTTGAATACAATCTGCAGCATCGCTATTTCAAATGGAAAGAAAACCAAAAGGTGAACGTTACTTAAATGGCAACATAAGAAAATCATCATGTAGAAATCTGAGAATAGAAAAACAGGACGGCATATTAACCATAGAAATTTATAGATTTTCACTGCAGGGTCGAACAAAGGAGTACGCTCCGGCTGGACGGCAACATAATTGCCAAAAAGGGTAGCAGAACTAATTTTTCTCAGACACATTTTGGTTGCATAAAACTCTTCTTGTTTGTTTTACATTGCAAGGATAAAACCTACTCTCCTTCCAAAAATGGTTCCCTGGTCTTGGTTCTATCTGACAATGAACTATTGATGTTGACTCTATATTACGTCGAAATGGTCAACTGCCAATACATTATTTCTCTCCCAAACAAAGAATACCATTTTGCTCTCGTGTTGTGTCGTGTCGCCGTGCTGAAATTTTTTTCCGAGTTTCCAAAACGATATGATTTTTGTGGGACTTCATAGCGTAATGTTATACCGTGACCTCCGTCGCCACCACAAGGCGGAGCCAGAATGGAGAATACTGGGGTAGATCTTAGCTGTTATTTGACTCCAGTCGTTTCCATGTCAGAATTATAGTAGTGTGGCGGTTTCTCCTCCGTAGTCCGCGAACCCTTGGCTCGCCGGGCCACTCAGCCCGGTCGCGGCGCCGCTCACGCGTGATTTGGCCAGGGCCTGGGTCCGTTTGGGTGGAAATATACCGCCCGGACAAAGGACTCTGAACGAAATGGCACGCCTGGAAAAGATATGTGTGATACCATCTACTTCTAGCAGGTTTATTCACTTCCACTCACTTCCTCAATGCGTGAGGTACCCTAACAAACTAATGTTGAACATTTACAAACGGCAAGGAGGGGGCATGAGGACCCATCGCACACCCCGTCGCCCTACCGAGATATCCTGTCGCAAAAGTAAGTAAAGGTACAGTACCGGCTCATGTACTCACATGAATTAATTACAAACGTCCCGTCAGTACCCAGTCCTTATGCACAATCCAAGATAAACTAACGATTCAGTCACAATCGTCTACACATTACCTAAATTCCGGTGCCAAAGTTGTGTCAGTCGATCCAATCTGAACTCCTCGGCAGCTCGGCTTAGACTGACTAATTTTCCCCATTCTGACATTATTTAATTCCCTCCCCTGTTTTCCACTGTCGTGAAAACACCATCTTAGCACAAAGATGCAAAACAATGGTCCACAATACCCATTTCAACCTTTCTTCCATTTGCTTATTTTTATCATACTCCGGATATTGTCAAATCCCCCCCCCCCGTTTTCCATCATGGCAGTCTTATCAGTTCAGTTTCCCACTTTCCACAACATAATTTACTCTCTGAAAACACGTTGTCAAATCCCCTGACAGTTACACCAATACCCCCTTTGTTCCATACCCCCTGACTTGACATACTTGACGGCCCCCGGTTTCCAAACTCCCGGACCTAACCCGAAACCTAATTAAGCGCATCACCGGTCAACCCCATTGCCATTCCTCTGGAGTTTAAAGGGTCACCAGACATTCGCGTTACAGTAGATTAAATTTACGGATATCACAGGTATCTCAGTTGAAGTTGAATATCGGACTAAGTTGTTACGTGTTAAAATACACTATATATTGTGTTATTGGGTACATTGTTTACGATTCCCCACTTGGTGATAGTTCACCATGGACATGTAAAAATAAACCAGTGTCGGGACTGTATACAGATATAGCCCCGTCTCCTTTATTTCTGCTACCACAAATTACACGGTACATGTACATGTACGTGTACCGTACAAAGTTCACGATCGAGCACAACGTGCCAAGCCGATTGCATACATTAGGCAAATGACAGTCATCATGTAAATCACTAGGAGCACCAACATGACCCCAGCCAGCTCGCCACTGGATAGTCTGATCCCTGGTGTTTTTGTGTAAATAAAGTGCACAGTGTATACAAGGTCAGAGGTCATTCATAACAAAATCGCGTCCACAGAACGCTCGGGGTGCACGACTAGAAACAAATCCCCATAGACAGCAATGATAAATCCCCATACTTTACAAAATACTTAAAAATACAACTCTCACAGGTGTTCAGGCTGCACAGAAAAATGATGTTCCACATGTCCCCTTTCATTTTCCTTTCAATTATCGGGGGGTTAACCGGTGAATTCTTGAGAAATTTTCACCAGAAGCAGACCACCCCTAAAATACAGAAAACGTCCCTGTCAAAAAAAGCAGCCATTAAAAAAAAAAATCCCTTTGCAAAATGGCTCAAATAGTGCCACTTTCGGACCCGATTGCATCCAAATTGCTCAGAATTGGAAGCCCTGAGTCCGGCCCAGAGGTTCAGTCTCATATTTCTTCAATTCCCCAGTTCCATGGCTCCTAACTTTTATTAATGAGCTCGGCGGACATATTTCTGGCCTAAAGACGAGGGTGCACCCCAGCTCGCATGATGTCAGCCTAGTGCAGCTGTCTCATTCCTCCTGTTCGCTAACACAACATATTGGCAGCGGTGATGAAGAATCGGAGTCCCACTAACGGCCTAATGTACAGGAACTGTAACCGGTTTTCTGACACTACCACAAGTCTGTCTCCACCAAACACTAACGAGAAACGTCAAAGCGGCAGGGGACCACGTCACCTACAACGGCGAGTCAACGGCGCACCTGGCGTCCACCATTACCTGCATACACCGCACACGCGCATCGTATGTTGCGTGTTGAGCTGTACCCTGGCTGTGGACCACGTGTGAAGCGAAAGTGCTATCAGCTGAGGCGACCGTTATTGCGGAATATTTTGGCCATCGTTCCATATTTCAGCATCGTTGGACCACCAAAGTAAACGAGAGATTACTCCAAGTGTCTGGAACCCACTGACAATCCCATTCCCACGGACTGCAATTTTTGCAACCTCGTCGGACACCCGCCGCGCAACCTTCACTCCCGCCGTCGGCCAGTGGCAGAATTCCATTCACTTCATGCATGCCCCATGTCAACGAAGGCCCTGATCTCGTGTCCTGAGATTCCGTTTCAAGGCAAGCAAGCAGACGGCATCACCGGTGTTTTCAGATGCGAAGACAGAACCAGCAAGGCTGACTGGTTTGGTGTTCACCCGTTCTAGTCAATGCTAGATCTAGTATTCACCGGAGCACCACAAGGTTCCCTGCCCAGTGGCCTGCAGACTAGCCGTGAGTGTCAGCAGCACAGGAACAGACTTTGCCTTATAATATGTATGACGCTACGTATTAATCAGTTCTGACTGTTGTTTTTTTTTCGAATTGTTACGACTGTTGATAATTTTTCCATGGAAAGTTTGGACTAGATATACACCATAAAAGTTTGTGACATCATTACATTTTGTGATATTATATGTACTTCTGTTAAGCCTCGTCTGATACTGAAACTTTTCTAACTCTTGCTTAGAGCTTGGTCTAGGTCTTCGCTCCATCTGAAACGCGTGCAGACGCGCAGACAATAGACCTAGCTATAGCTTTGGAAGCCCGTTTCGGACACGGCCTAAGTTAGGGCAACAGTAATCCCTATCACTTTACGACCTTTATTAATACACCGTATCTTGTATCAGATTATTGAATTTCACTCAAAGGCAGGGCAAAATGGCCAAATTCCCCGAAATGTACTGGCAGGCGAAGGACCTGTCAGAGGAGTTCAAACTTTTCAAGCAGCGTGTAATATTGTGCATTCAAGACAGTAACATTACTCAGCCTGACAAGCAGGCAATCAAGATAAAGATTGCTGTTGGCAGTGAGGGTCTAAGACGACTTAATAAATCAGGCCTGTCTGATTAAGATCAGAATGACCCATGGTCCATTTTTGAAGATCAGTTGAAGATCAATGTTAGTTTCCGCATTCATAAACTACAGCTCACGCGTTTTAGGCAGAAGCAGAACGAAACTTTGGACGAATTCACAAATAGGTGCAGAGACAAAGCGGGTCATTGCATGTTCTCGCTGGATGAACTCAACGAGCAAGTTGTTGAGCTCGTACGCCATAGCCTCAAAAAGCCTAGCGGGTGCTGTGATGAAAACAAGTGCGCCCTTACTTGACAGGCGCATTTTCCCGCGCACACTAGCTGTCGCACTCAGCCTAGCTGAATCATTCCATCTAGCGAATCATTCAATCTTGCATAATCAACAGCATCGTCAAAAAGACATCAAACAGTTTGTTAAGTGCCAGCTACTCTAACCACCCAGGACTTTCTGTTAATAAACGACGAGTGAATAAACCGGTTTGGTGGTCAAGTTCAAGTTGTGTCCTTGGGTTGACTGCTGCAAGTCTGTCTCCTAGACGTTGTCCGAAGCGGGAGTCATCTCCCATCTGTTGGGGCTCACACTCCAACAAACCCTGGGGCCGGCTGCGCAAGTAGCTACCATCACATTACAAAGTAAGCAAAAAGGAGGGGTGCCGCCATGAGGCTGTTGCTACGAGCACTCGTTGCTTGCAAACTCTTGCAATTGAAGCAAAATAATTAAGTCCGACGCGAATACCCCCGCGACC